AAGTATGGCGCCTTATTTATCTGGGTTCTCCAAGAACCTCTGCCAGTTGTTGGGGTTGTTTAATCCTACACACACACACGCCTCCATGCCTTCAATGGAACTGCGTTAACATTGCTAGTTCTTGTGAAAAACTTGACTGACTTTGCATTCGAGTCATGACAATGAATTCTAAAACCACACCACACAATGTTTCACTGATCTTAACTGGCTACAGTTAGCGTGTGGAATGGTGTGTGAACAGACGCGGATGATAAATTCGGCCCTTTAGTTTCTGATCGGCTTGCCCTTGACAAGCTTCTGACGTGTGAATTTTTGCAACTAGATCAGCAGTTCTGCCACCATGATCTGGGATGCGTGTTCTCCCACTAAATCACCACAGCCCCCATCAGGCGGACAAATTGTCAATTCTTGTTAGGGCAAAATTTGCTTTCGATGCCCACTTCATTTCGTTCGAAAGGATATGAGTTGAAGGCTGAGGTTATCACCACTTGCCTTGAAGTTTCTAGTTAAGTTCATCATTTCAGCCGCCGACTTGTCACATTTGGTTAACACCAAGACAACTGCCTGTTGAGTGACGCTGTCTGAACACAAAACCCCAAAAGTTGTAAACACCCGATGGGTTTAGTTAGAATTGGGTCCAACGAGGAGTGGACCAACCGAGGTAGCCTCACTTGAATTGGACTAAAGAGTTTATCCATGACAAGTTATTCGTAATTTGTGTCCAATTACGCTCTGATTTTATGTTTAACCGCCACCAAGTTTAAATCACGGAAACGTGACTTCCTAGCGTGCTCAATGCTTTTCGAATGTAGCGGTCAAACTGGTGTCACACAATACTAGGAGCTACAATTACACTTGATAATTATCATTAAGTTTAAGGTATATTACCGATTTTAGGAAGAAAATGCATTCTTACGGTGGACCACAAGAGAACCTAAGCATAAGCCAAAAATATGCACAAGATCTTACAATTAAACTCATTTATCCGAAAAATAATTTTGGTTTGGAAACAGATTACGTCATTGGAACTATTGGTGACTTGAAGCCACTTTCTCGTCCACAGAATGTAAAGGCGTGACTAACGATTATGTGACATTCAGTATGTTTCCCATGTTGCTATTATCGGAATAAGAGCTTAATTCTTCCATCTACGTAGGGTACCCCACAGTTCAGGAAAAATACTTGAACCCGCAATTTTATCCGTGTCGATTCGTGTTCTTTTTGACATCTACCGTTTAAATTAATGTAGAAAAAAACGTTTTTTAATAATGCAGATATTTTGAATAGTATGCAGTTTTCAGTCCATTCTACTTGGAGTTTTTCCGTTTAACTGTTTCAGTAACCCGGACAAAGCAGATACATTGGGAAGTTAGAGTCTTAGTGTCCATGGCTTTGCATTGGTCATCTCAACCATGTATTTCGTTCTAAAAAAATTTACAAATTTTCACTGTTGGAGTTAGCATAAATGATCTACACTAAATTTTACCACGGCTAATCCCAATTGCCATGTCGGTTTTAAACGCTGTATATTGCTTTTCTGAAATTCCCCTTCATAAAGAAAACCTAACTGACAGTCTGCTACCAACCTGTTTTAGGCAATCTTTGGTCTAGTGATCGCCAGCATATGCAGTTTAGGATGCTTCGGTAGATTACGAATTCAGGTCTATGTTTCTTGGACCCAAATTAAACATATGCCGAAAGACTATTAATTTCTGTAAATGTAGATCACGTAGTAATCGACAACAAGACAAAGATCCAGGCATTATAAATAAAATAAATTCACACATTTTAACCCAACTTTCACCAAAACATGAACTGATTACAGGCAATTCCGGGACTTCACTCTTTGCTCTGCGATCTCAGGTGTCTGATTCCCGTGCCTGGGAATCTGGCTTTGCTTCAAGTTAACTTTAACTCTGTACAAAAATAAAATTTGTAAGCTTTGTTATTGTTAAAAGATATATCCATACGCAAGCTATGCTAGTTGACCGGATCAAAGATTTAAATCAACCTTTTAGATACAGTTTTCTCAAAATATTAAACTTATAATTTTTTGCAGTTCATTAATTTTATTTTTTGAGACTCCCGTTATTCTGAGGCTTGCACACATGTCATTTGCTAAAGCTTATATATTTTAACTTTCGAATGGCTTTCAGTTTCTTTTAAGCGTCCAAACTCTGCACATCATCAGGCACAAAGTCAATTTTTTCTTCCATCTGAGCGGATATTTTACTTTTTTTTATTTCAAGCGCAACGAACACTTTAAAATTGTAGTCAACTTAATAAAGAAACAATTATAGATTATTTGCGGCATTAAATAAAATTGTCTAGTACCACTTTGAAACACCAATGAATCACAAAATGCAGTAGATTTAATGTGTTTGATGGTACTGCTCTTCCTATCTTTGCAATTTTTTAAAATTTTGTTCCTTATGTGGACTAAGGCAAAACTTCCAAATAACTCATTATTTTTTTCGTTTGCTGCTGCTGCCGAAACAGCCTATCTTATTCCGGACAGTAACAGAGGTACCTCCAGGCATACATGTGGTTTATTTATTTGATCCTTATACTTTGATTTAGACACGACGATTTGAGATGACATTCAATACTTCATAGCTCTGGTTAAAAAAATAAGTAGTGTATATACCTACGACGATAATACAACATTTTACAAGGTTTCAGAATCAGTGAGGAGATCATTATAAGTGCATGGATATGATCGTGCACACGAGACCCGTTTAGATGCTGAATTTGCCGCTTTTGAAATGCGATCTTTGCAGCTAATAGGAAGTCATTATTCTTTCATAACTGGAGACCTTGGCTCAGTCGCAGTTGCCCAAGATATGACATGTTGTGACAAACTACTTTAAGGAAACCAGATCACCCAAACCTTCCATCAAATAGCATTTAGGCTATTTTTTTAGTTAAACAACTTTATTCATCGTAATTTGCGTTTTATTACGTTTTGTAGGGCCGTAATTTACTCCTTACTTTGAAGTAACAAGAGCTATTATAATTTTCGATCTCACTTCATATGACTGTGATAACATTAACTGCAACCTTTACTGTGGCGTAATTGGTCATTTGATTCACTTAAAACACCACCTAGTTAAGAAAGCTGCTAGGTTGGACGAATTTCGCTAATTTTTCGCATTCAGAGAGCTTGGATTGGTTGACGAACCTACGACATAAACTAGACCTCTCAGCCAATCATTTCATTCTCGGTATGACTATCTACCACCGTCAGCGCTAACTACGAACATAAAATCTTGTCATTAGACTTATTCGATGGGCTAAGTTAGGTAAATGTTATGATTTGCTGGCTTCTTGTACATGGCTTCAGAATTTGAGGCTTAATTCTGACTTAAGAGAGACTGCTACCTCCATGAATAAAAAATACAGAACATGGTCACAATAACTGAACCCTGAAAGAACGTAATCACAAGTTGTATTAGGCTTGATTGAGGTAAGAGGGATATTAGTCTCAAAATGACTACTTATTTTCAGTTGAATAGGAAACAGATAAGCTGAACAATGTCGTATTGCTAGCAACCAATGGTCATCGTACTAACGTGTCTCAAGAGTCTAGAAGGGCGGCATATCAAAAGGTCGGGCAAGTGGATTGTATTTTGGTTTGCATCACTTGTGATACTATTTCGTCTGACCAACAGTGTGCAACTGTGAAGAAATCCAGCTCAAATGTTTGGGGCACGGTTGCAAGGTTGAGACATTTCTGCATTAGTTGCAACTGCAAAGAAACCTGTACATTTGCATTCGATTGGCAAAATGCACAAAGAAAGGAAATGTGATTCAAAAAGAAGACCATCTGATTAAGTTTCTACTCGACCACAATTCAAATTCTAACATGAGTTTTAACTGCGTGCCCTCTTTGAAAAACTCATCTTACTTTGAGTCGTTCATTCAACAAAAACACGCATCACTTTTCATTCCTTTCCCTAGTACATAAACATTTTGAAGCTCACATCTCCCATTTGCAGCTAATAAGTGGAAAAAAAATTGTATTTCACCCGACATGGATTCATTGGGAAATCGACAGTTACCCATTTTTAGATGCAAGTTTGGTTTTGCTATCAAAAATGAAAACCGTTAATAATATTTTTAAACATTACCGAAATTTGGCTAAGTTGCTTCCATCATTAAGAAAATCAGCATTATATTTCGATGCAAAAATAGTTTTTTGCTGCAAGAAATCTCATAAACTGCGTGTAGGAAGTATCATTTGAGTTTAGGTGGCACCTAAAAAATCTTGATAATTGAATCGAAATGAAAAACAATTCATGTCCACTTCGCTCATCCCTAGAACAAAGTGTCCTGTAAGGCATTCTAGAACGAAAATATGTGCCGATAAAAAGCAGACCCTGCAACGGCTTTTGACTCGACGTTGTAGAGGTCCAAAGGACGTATGACCAACATCCAGATCAATGAAAAAAAGTCACTACGTGAGCAAATTAAAGACATCAAGTAATGGAACTCGAGATCGTTCGCTCTCGGCTGGTAAGGAAATCCGCGAAGTATCTTGGGCCCTTACGGTGTAGGCAAGCCGAACGTCGGCAACTTTCATGTCTTTGCTTCCTAGGCAAAAGTTACACATTTTGCTGTGACTTTTATCATGACTGCTGCTGGTAAAATGTGCGGGAGTTTCGTCAGTAAAATTTCGTGTAGTAATGTACTAGTCTGTTGGGGATGCCTAATATCACGAGTTACCCAACAAAGACGAAGTCGGTGGAAGGACAGAGAGTCAACCGTATATTCGAGTTCTTGACAAAGTTTTGGTTTTTGGTGGGTTTTTGC